TCCTTAATAAAGATAATGACACTCGAAACTAAGCATGGCATATATAATTGCTTGAAATAAATGCAGCAAATTACCATACAACCTAATATATTTTATTATATCTAATTCAGTCATATCTTATCTTATAAATTTTATCTTATATAGTTAATACTCACCTTTTTCAGAAGAAAAAAACTTTGTTTGAAGCTCTCTCAATCAATTATTGAGCAAACCATGGGTAGTTGTCTCTCTTTATCCATCTCGGTAGATGAAGTTGTTAGTCGATGCTGGGATTTGGTTGCTGGACAAGCACAATACATTTGTAAGCTTGAACAAAATCTTCAAGCATTGGAGGCTGAGGCAACAAGATTGACAGAGCAAAGAAATGATGTGAATAGGAGGGTTCTTCTTGCAAAGGAGCAGCGCATGGAGCCCCTTAGAACGGTAGAAGGATGGCTTGAAAGAGTGGAGAAAGAGATAAGAGAAGTTGGGCAGATAATAGAAGATGCCCCTGCACAAATTAATAATTTGTGCCTTGGAGGTTACTTTTCCAAGAGCTGCTGTTCAAGCTACAAGTTTGGGAAAAAAGTAGTACAAAAGACTAGAGATGTGACTAAACTAAAAACCGAAGGAAATTTTCCTGTCGTTGCTGCGAGGTGCCCAGCTGCTTCAGTGGTTATAAGACCCAGTGAGTCTACAGTGGGTTTGGAGTCAACATTTGACGAGGTTTGGGCATGCGTTACTGGTCCAGGCAGCAACATGATTGGCCTCTATGGCATGGGCGGAGTCGGGAAGACAACTCTCTTAAAGCAGATCAACAATGAGCTGGGACAGACAAGAAATGATTTTGATATTGTGATTTGGGCAACGGTGTCTGAAAATCACACTATGGAGAAAGTTCAAGATGAGATTGGAATAAAGATTGGTTATAGTGAAGAAGAATGGAAACAAAAAAGGTTTGATCAAAAAGCTACTGGCATCCTTGCAGTGTTGAGTAAAATGAAATTTGTGTTGATTTTGGATGACCTGTGGGAACGAGTTGATTTATTTGAAGTTGGGATACCTATTCCAGGACAGGGAAATGACCAAGCTTATCTTTACTACTCGTTCTCTTGATGTGTGTGGTCAAATGGAAGCTCATAAGAAGATCAAGGTAGACTGTTTGGTTCCAGAGAAAGCCTGGGAATTGTTTCAAAAAAAAGTTGGAGAAGAAACCCTTGCTAGCCACCAACGAATCCGTGGACTAGCAAAGGTAGTGGCAGAAGAGTGCAAGGGTCTGCCTCTTGCCCTCGTCACCGTAGGTCGGGCTATGTCATACCGGAACACACCTGAACAATGGGAACGTGCAACAGAGAGTCTAAGGAGGTCCGTTGCTAATCATGTTCCTCCAGGTATGATGGATGGCGTGTATCGACTTTTGAAATTCAGTTATGACAGTTTGCCTGGTGAGAAGCTTAAATCATGCTTCTTATATTGCGCCTTGTTTCCAGCAGGTTTTCTGATAAGCAAATGTGAGCTCATAGACTATTGGATTGCAGAAGGATTTCTAAATGAAGTTTACAATATTTGTGATCGAAATGAAGGCCATGAGATTATTGGTACTCTTCTTGCCTTATGTTTATTAGAAGAAGTTGAGGACAGGGTGAAGATGCATGATGTGATTCGTGACATGGCTTTGTGGATAGCACGTGGAATTAAAGAGGAAAAATATATAGTGGAAACTAGTGCCCAATTAACTGAAGCACCAGAGATTGAAAATTGGAGGATGATAAGAAGATTGTCATTGATGAATAACAAGATTCAGAGTCTAAGAGAAACACCCGATTGTCATGATCTCCGAACCTTATTTCTTGAAAATAATGATTTGCAATCAATGAGGTTAGCCAAGGACTCTTTCCAAAATATGGTAGTTTTGAACTTGTCAAACAATCAGCATTTAGCAGAATTGCCGGAGGAATTTCAAATTTAGTTTCTTTGCAGTGTCTCAATATCAGTGATACTGGTATAAGACAGTTGCCGATGGGGTTAAGTAGCTTAACAAAGTTGAAATGTTTGAACTTGGAGGGAACATCGGATCTTGAGACAATCCCCGAAGAACTAATTTGTGGTTTTTCAAGGCTGCAAGTGTTGCGGATGGGGAGTACTGGTTTTCAAGCCGGTATAGCGGTAAATGGGAATATCAGCTACAGCAGACTTGAGTGCTTGGAGCGCTTGAAATATTTGAACGCCTTAACAATAACTATATGTAATGACTCTGCTGTTGAAGGTTTCTTAAGCTCTCACCGCATACAGGGTTGCACAGAAGGATTATGCATTTATCAACGGGAGAATGGCTCTTTGTTTTCGCTGAAAACTTTATGTTTGCCACCCATGAAGCGACTTAATTATCTGACATTGATGGGCGCAAGTATGGAAGAAGTGAAGACGCAGTGGGATGAGGAAGGAAGAAAGAAACAGACACAGTATGACTTTCAAACCTCTGTGATTGCAAGTGAAAGAAACTTCTACGACTTGCGGAGGGTCGACATACATAATTGCCCAAATTTAAAGGACATTACATGGATCATTTGGGCCCCAAATCTGACAAGTCTCATTGTGTCTTGCTGCTTTAGTATGAAAGAAATAATTAGTGAGGGTGGAGTTGCAGCGATGACCGGGGATCTTATCTTGTTTGAGAAACTCCAAATCCTGGTTCTAATTTGTCTACTAAAATTGACGAGTATCCACAGGTTTGCACTTTCCTTCCCTAGTTCGGCTGCAATTAGAGTACAAGGTTGTCCAGAGCTGAGGAAACTTCCACTTAGCTCCAACAGCGGAGGGGGTAGAATCATCATTAGAGGAGCGCAACGGTGGTGGAATGAGCTAGAATGGGAGGATGAATCCGCACGGGACACTTTTCTTCCGTATTTCCAACGTACATCTTAAATTGCTTCAACGCAGGATGAATCCACAGGGAACCCTACTTTCACTCTTCTCAGTGTCTTGTTTGGCATGTTGGTGTGTAATGAATGAATGAAAATTATGACAATAGTATGTCATGGTACTCTTTTATTTTAAATTCAAAGAAAAAAAATGTACTATTTTATTTTACCTTATTTAAGCTGTTTTTCTTTTTTTTTTTGAAATCGCTGTGTAATGTTTGACAATGATGTGGTGTACAATAAAAAAATAATTATTAAATATGTTTAATTTAGTATGAATTTTAATTTTATTAACTTTATTATATAATAATTATCAAATATTTTAATATGTTTAATGTCAAAAGACAATTTAAT